TTTAAGCATGAATGCCGGCACCCAACCAATGTTTCCCTATGCGCGTCTCATTATTTGTTCTGGATGAAAAATCGCGTGTTGAAAGCTCAGTGATCAAAATAAAGCCATATTTCCTTTTTTTATCAGACCCACCAAACTAGCCAATGGCATGTAAAATGTTATTTGGCTAAGATTTAATTCTTGTCATTAGGTAAAAGTAATCCTAACAGGATTAACGCCAACTATCCTTATTATATGTTATTCTCAATTAAAAACCCATGAGATATAACGGGATTCGATCCCCGAACCGCTAGCGTGGGAAATACGACGTACAACGCCCTAATCGACAATATCTTCAAGTCGAGGTTCAAGCAATTGAGAGATGTATCAAGTTGAACAGGAGATACAAAAACAAGGAACATATCAGGAGAAAAAAAATCAGATCAAAGATGATGCCGAATTTGCAAAACAAAACTAAATTAGGTATTGTCTACAAGGTTCCCAGATATGCAGGACTCGAGGGAAACGATGACGCTATCTCCCTTGAAATATTTTTCGGTAATCCAAACAATGAACGAACATCTTGGAAATGAGACATAGTGAGAAAAAGAAAACGTTCTTGCGTCCTGACAACACCCGACTGGGATCAAATGGGAAAAGTAAAACCCCGGAACTTAACAGGTTTCTGGAAGGGGATTAATGTACAAGCCCAAAACATGAGTAATCAAACTCATTACGGAAGAACACTTCGGTCTTTCAAGCGGAAATACATGCCAAAAAAATCTTCATAAGATCTGATAGCCAAGCAGCCATTAAAGCATTAGCATGTAAAAGAATTACACCAACGTAGTCAGTGAATGCATCCAAAACCTGGGGAAACGCAACGATATCTTGGGTGCCAGGGCACAGTGGAATTTTGGGTAACGAGAAAGCAGACAGACTGGCCAGAGGAGGATCTGCAAGACCATACATACGCCCCGAACCTATAATTGAGATTTAAAAAAAACAAATATAGAATCCTCCATCGCAGAATGGATCCGAGCAAAACAAAAGGAGAAGTGGATAAACTCTAGCGGTGCTAGACATGGAGAGGGCTAAACTCAGAGGAGTGATAAGACTAACTGGTCACTGGCATCTGAGAAAACATCTATACATCATGGGTATATACAACGAAGATCCCATCTGCGGATTATGAAATAAGGAGGAGGAAACAGCCACCTATATCATTTTCGACTGAGAAGAAACAGCACAATGGAGATTGGAGCACAATCTAACATACAAAAAGAAACTTAGGGACTGAAATTGTAGCAGCGACAGTCAATGACCCCTGATCCTTCTAAGGAGAAGGATAGTCCATTACCCTTAACTAAGGAACTAACTAGGAAGGTACAATAAGCCAGAAGGCTGCAGTGCCTGGGGAGTACAAACCCTGCAAAAAAAAACACCTTGCGAAATTTGAAAAGAAAGAAAAGCAACAAGGGAAGCATTAAAATTCCTCATCCTGATAGCTTACTTCAGTGAGTCTGTACAAATTTAATTCATTTAAGAGATTGGTACCGATCAACAAGGTGCGTGCAGAAGCAGGCAGAAAGAAGAGACATCAACAGTTGTAGAGGCACACTCCTTCACAGGAGTTCCTTTTAGTCCTGTAAGACGTACAACAACGCAACCATGGAAGAAATACGATCACTAAAACTAATAATCAAATTCCTCGATGAGTTAGGATCCACCGATGGAGGTATAGGTAGAGGGCAAAGAGGTAAAATAGTTCTTAAAGGTGTAGCAGTTACTCCCCTGAATTTTTAACATATTTAACATTTTAAACAAATTGTCTTGTTTTTGGTGGTTTCATTGCTTTCAAGTACTAAAAGTCTGTGCATTACCTTAAAATAAAAGTGAATTTCATTGCCTTTGTAACAGCTCAACCAAACAAAGTTGGTTTTCAACAAAATTTCCCTTCAAGTCCTTTCCATGCGGTTAAGTTAATTAACTAAATGACGTTCAGGACTTTTTTCTCTCTCTGGTTCTCTATCCTCTTTCTCTCTATCTCCCTCTTTCTCTTGGCGTAGTGGTATTTTAATTCCGACTTTTTCTCTCCGTTTCGTACTTTATTGGAGAAGAAAGCGTAAAACCGGTTGTTTTTACGGTACATTAATCCCCGCGCGTTCAATCACATCGCACCCGTGGGCAAAGTTCAAGTGGATGCTTCGCATTTAAAATAGAATGGGCGAAAATTCCGTTAACACGAAAAAAACCTTTTCAAATCAAAGTCATCTCTATCAAAAACGGCTTATATATAGTTTTAAACATAAAGGGTTAAAGTATAATTGTATTTTAAGTGTCGCGGACGGTTCAATAAACAAAGAGCGATTTAACTGAAAATGGATATGACATGTAATTTGAATAAAAAGATAAATATTTGCATAACGTGATAACGTGTCAAAATTAGCGGGAGACATTAACGGCATAAACTACTATAAATAAACAAAGCTAAATATATTATTTCTGACGTTATATGACGTTTAATGTTGGCAGGCCTTAGGCTTTCAATAAAGATCTTTCCTGCTCTTTTAGACTCCTCAGGACGATATTGAATCCTTTTAAGCTTACTATCAAGGCTGGAAGAAGAAAAGGATCGCCTACTAATAAATTGAATCACTTGACATTTCGGCTTTCATCTCAACTCCTTTTGTCCTTTGAAGGACTGTGATCGTGCCGTCAGAATATTTTAAATTTCCAAATGTTTCAATATGGAACTGATTATGAATAACCACTGAAAACTAATCATTTTCCGATAACAATTTAATTCGATGTCCATATGTCGAAGATATAATAGAGATGGGAGATGGGAAACTTTGGAGCAATTTCATTGTCACTAGTCGATCGGTCGATTAAGGTCCGCCTAGTCTCGCCCTATATACAATTCTTCCTGAATATGAGTAAATATATTATATTAATTAAATAATTATGGAAAATCTTACCACCACAGGGTTTTTTTTAAAATCAATTGTCAAGAAACCACAGTTCGACTTACCTGCAACAAAAAAAGAAACAATATGTTAAAGCATATAATCAAAGAATACAAGTCATTTAGTTGAGAACAATACTAATGGAAGAGAATTTTGGGAATAATATTTCGTTCTATTCTAAAGAAACGATTAAAGTAAGCGTATCGTAAATGCCCAAACATACTTTTTAAAAGATACATAAAAATAAATATGCGTACAGAATATACGTATTTAACTGGACAACTTTTTGATCTAAGGTCTTAAAAGGATTTGACTATTTATTTGGCTGATTGACAGATTTATAGAAAACTAATTTGATAATTTCCAAAGATAATGCTAATCGATAACAGTAGAATATTTTATTTTTTATGACTTAATATTGACTCAATATTAGCCAGAGAGAAATGTGAGAATGCCATGAATCATTTAACTTCCATATTAGCCAGAGTACGTTCCGCTGATTTTTCATTATACATAATTTTTGAGGGAAATGGTGCATGAAAAAAGGCCAGAGGCAACTTGGAAATCGAACCCAGAACGCGTATACGAGCCGAGATTCTAAAACAATCCGCTACCGGTGCCCCCAAATAGCAATTTAAACGACTAATACTAGCATATATTGTATAAAAAATCCATAAAAATTGATCGTTTAAATTACGACGCAACATGTTGAGCAAACAATGCTCCGTTAAATGTGAATGTTATAAATGGGAATCTTGATAATATACCAGACTTTTTTTATTTGCTTAGCCATCTAGATGGTAATTAAGGCGATCGATTGATGAGCTCGTCATTTTTTAGTTCAAGTTGCTCTCGACATCAGGATGACCTGCTGCCTGGTAGGCAATAAAGTCAATTGGAACAAACAAAAAGCCCCCTGCAATGCGGATGGGGTACATGAAAGCTACCAGGAAAGTAATCAAAACCGAAACGGTTTGGCCCATGCTGGAGTGCCCAGGGGGTGAAAAGCCCTTTTTACAACAGTTATACCGAACTGAAAAAGTTAAAGCAACATCGCGAAATATTGTTTTAAATAATAAATACAGATATTGGTTGTATGCGATATAAATTTAGGTTTTGCTACAAGATTTGACTCAACGTGACAGTAAAAGCAGTTCATCTCAATTTATGAAAATTTATAGGTCGCGGGAGGTGTTAATTGCGTAGCGAATGAATTTATAATTCCGAGGTACTTGTCATGCAAAACTGCTTTATATAAATTCATTAATAAATCTGTTTAATCAACACCCCCAGTCACAGGTTAGGAGTGAAATCATTTACCACTCAAAACGCAACAATCAGGTCCAAAAATATGTTTTTTTAATTTAAAAAAAATTACATATTTTTTGGTAAGAGGGGGTGTTTAACTCCGCCCCTAGAGTATCAAGTACTCGGCGACTTCTAGAGACTAAAAGTAAGTTATTAGCTAGAATGGAGTTGTGGGTTCGACCCCGCCATGAAGAAAATCGGAACTCTGGGGGTCTGAATGTAACTTCTATATTTGTAGTGATGACATATATTGTATGTTTTATACCAATTATGAAGTTGACAACCTGATGTACGAATGAGAGGCACCATTTTAGCATAGTGGCTTAGTTTTCGTCTAGAAGCTGAGAGTCAGTTACAGACCGAGATGCTCAAATGGTTGTGGTAGAAAAATACTCGTGAAAGACTAGAAAAAGAAATAAAAACAAGCAGGGGTCTGGTGATGGGCCTCAGCAATGTCGCCCCTAAACTTCCCACATTAATATTATTTTAGCAAGGGAGATTTCTAAGTCGAATAAATAAGTCGAATCAATTACTAAATCAACGCCCAAGTTTTAGAATTAAATTTTAATTTTCAAATCACATCCTGGAAAAAGTAATTAGAGGGATAAACGCCTAATAAAGATTTTAAATTCACCTAGATTTATAAGTGTAGGTTATTGTCATAAACCCATATTATCTAATCTTATAAAGAACTTTTCAATTAATTAATCTTTAATTAAGGTTTTGGTTGAGATAAAAAGTCAATGTCACGAGCTGGATTCGAACCCACGACCTTCGGCTAAAAACGCCGCTGCTCTACCACTTGAGCTATCGTGACTTCGTCCACTCGGACACCAACTTCCCACCTCAACCACACCTATTGAATTTTCCCTCCTTTTTGCCATTTCTCAACCAAAACCTTAATTAAAGATTAATTAATTGAAAATAATTTATTTGGTCTAGTGGACCACGAAAACTAATAAATTTGGACAATTGTAAAACAGACGCTTATCGTAATGCGTTGCCTAAATACTATGGGGTTAAGGGCAGACCACTTGTAAGGGTACACCTAACTAAATGACCTATGTATTTGGTAGGATTTAAAGCGCATTATTTACCGTAAACTGCTGCGGAATGTCCAATACAATTAAATCCATTAAATAGGCCGAAGAGAATTAACAGGGGAAAACCGGCTAGTATTAGTCAAATAGAAACAAGAGCGTTTACCGCATTATAACGATTTTTTAGGTAAAGGAGAAATGCCACACAGTACCACCAGAAAAAGGACAAGAAATTGCGAAAATATTAACTTTTCTGTCGGCGTTTGAGAGAAAGAAAATTTTCTGATAGTACTACTGATAGGTTCTCAGGTTTGTGGGGTTTTGGCGTTTCACATCATCCTAGTTTGTCTATCGCAGTTGAATTTGTCAGTAAGGCTAGCTTCAGCTCAGATCTTTGTAAGTTTAATAGTCATGGTGTAATTGAGCATAGGTTTAGAAGCTTCAAATCATCCCATCATGCCAATTCTTGCTGAATTTGTCGAGATGAGTTTAAGCATTTCGCCGTTCAAATCTCTTTCCAGGACTTAGGGGGAGGTTTGGTTGTTTCAGGTCAAATTATCCCTAGTACGGTTTTTAAATTTCTTATCAAGGTCTGAGGGGGACAGGAATGAACCTGTATTTTGGACATTCAGGATTATCCTAGTATGGCCTGTTCTTCCTATTATAGCTGGATTTGTCTACAAGGTGACCTTCAGCATTTGGCCATTGCAAGATTACTTGTTGAGGTCTGTGAAGTAAAGAAAATATAGTTTCGTCAGAAATGTGTGGTGTTTAGTGACTACGGTAGTGGTGTTTGAGGGGCACTCTCAACACGACACCCAAGAATGACACATCTACACGGAAAACATTTTGAGCCCTGAAGATGATCTCAATAAAGATCGAAACGTTGGCACGATAAAGAAAATGTTTTTCAAAAACGTACGTCACACCAGACCACATCTCACGATCTCCGAATAATCACAGTTTCGTCATTTCAGATCATACTGGTGTGGTCTAAACTTCCTACCCCAGTTTCTCCCCCCCCCTCGAATTGGTCAATAAGATCATCTTTTTGGCCGTTTTTAGATTAATTGTTGGGTCTGTCGGGGAAAGGAACCAACCTGTAATTTGAGCGTTAAGATCATCCTAATATGGTCAGTCCATACTACCTGAATTTGTCAGAAAAAGTGGTTAGGTCATTGCAAGATTAATTGTTGAGGCGAGTGGGGTAATGGACCCCTGTGATTTGGTGTTCCATGATCATCCCCGGAGGTCTGGTCTGCCTACCCAGCGTTTGGCCATTGTCGCGTTTTTTGTTGAGGTATATTTCAACGTTTGTTAATTTCAGATCATCCTGGTATTTTTCTTACCATCCAAGCTGAATTTATCTACTGATGATCTTCGGCGTTTAGCCATTGCATATTAATTGTTGAGGTCTGTAGGGTAAAGAACATATAGTCGTTTCAGATCATAGAATGTGAAATCAGCATTTTACAATGTTTTAGATTTCTTGGTATATCTGGAAGAAAGATAATATACATGGATTTACGGAATTTAAGATTATCCTAGTATAATCTATTCTTCATATCCTAACTGAATTTTTCTGTAAGTTGAGCATCAGCGTCTACCCTTGGGAAATTACTTTTCGAGTCTATGGGGTAAAGGAAACTTTCATATATTTGTTTACAATGAAAAAATCCCTTTAGACGGTTTGACCTAGCGACAAGTAGGCACTTTACCGACATGCTTTTCAAGCAATCCAGGCCCGCAGTTATTTTCATTTCAGGTTAAAAGATCCTTAAAAAAAGTTCCTTCCCGCAGGTTTATTGCATGTACAGGGCTAAAGGCAAACACGGCTAACTAAACCTGTAGAAACTTAATAATAACGTAATACAAACTGTCCACAACCGTTTGTTTGTGTTTTTACGTTTTCTTGAATTTATTATCTACTATATCTACCTGGCATAAAAGTCAAAATGCGTATCTAAGAAGTATCTGCGTAAGAAACAATTATTCCTTCAAATATATAGGGTTATTTTATTTATTTTTTTTAAATCTTTTATCATTACGATGTGATTGTTTAGTCGCTTAATAATATCAATGTCTAAGAACAAATAAAATTTATGACGAAAAAATGTTTGCACAAAAATGAAAACAATAATTTTTTATATTATTTGTCATACCGTTATTGTTTGTTTAAGCAATAAATTCAAAAATATTTTTAACTTTACAAACCAGTCAATGCTTTGCATTTGTACTTCGACTTTCACCAGAAGAGTGACATGAAAAAGTCCGATAGGTTTACGCTGGTCGCTAACATTCACCACATTTTCAAATAAACTCTCCCAAAGCCCTTTTGGCACTCCCATCATCTGGATTTGATGGAAATTTGAAAGGTTGGTTTTGGCAGAAGAGGTAAGGTTAATAAATGCTGCGCCCCCCCCCCCCGGTTATAACTCAACGAATGCCAGCCCCTTTTTTTATAAAATGGGGTAAGCAGCCCTTCGCAGTTCAACTTAAATAGGAGCAAGTTTCGACAAAGCATTAGTCCCTCGCGTATCTGGGTCAACTCCGGGCACTTAGTTTATGAGGAATTGCGGTTTTTCTTTTATAGGTTGATCCCGACAAAGAACAAGTTACAGGGAACACGAATGGTCTAAACTCAATGCCAGGAGATTTACGTACAGCAAAGACACCATTCACTTTGCTTAATTAATAAATTGTGATATATAATTTTAATAATTTTTTAGTTTCAAGTAAATTTTAATTGATATAACATTTAAATTTTTAACATTTAAGTACCAGGAATATCTGAAATGGCCAAATTACATGTTTTTTACCCCACAGACCTCAACAAGTAATCTTGCAATAACCTAACGATGAAGCTCAAGTAATTAATTCAGCTAGAATAAGAAAACCATACTAGGACAAACGCCAAAACTACAAGTTTTACTTTCTCACAAGACCCAACGAGAAATCTAAAAATTTATAAACCCAGAACCACCAGACCATACTAGGCCTGCCAAAAATCACCAATCCTTCAATAAGAAACCGGTTTTCCAGATAGAGGTATAGACTTTCCCAAATACTCGGTCGTCTTAAAAGGATAATGAGGATCTTTAACGTCCGTACCTGGCTCTTGGCCTTACCGTACGTTTTGATTCTCAAAATGGGAGAAGACGCACCTCAGCATACGGCTGATGTGTGTTACAGCCGCAGCGTTGGTGTAGAAGCTGTCCCAGCACCGAGGGGCCAAGACGAACCTCACTCCCCGCTTGCCCATTCCGAGTGGTTGGGTCTGCATTAAGCATCAGACCGTATGGCGCGCGTAAAGGGCTACCAAGGCCGAAATACATCAGCCTGGTCTCCCACGCACTCCCTAGGTAGAGAATAAGAAATAATAAGAAATAAAATAAAATCTCCCAGAGTATAGGCCTCCCCTAGAGTAAGAACATCCTGATCCGCTCCGACCGCGGTTTTGCTTAAAATGGAATTGCTAACCAACCCGTAGAAGAGATTGCCTTCAGTAATGGACGCCATTCGTGTAGGGACCACCGACCACTATCCATTCCCATCCGCCACTTCTCAGGTATTCGAGGGACTCGGTCAGCGTAGTCTGAGCGTCCTCAACGCTCTACGCTTCGTATCCCGTGAGGCTGGGTTTAAAACGATGGCCATACGCAAGTGTTTGGGCGAAGGTCACAGGTAGAAGACCATCCTCTTCTTTATGTTCTCGCCAGGACCCTCGCCACTGAGCTACAACGAATCTATTCTCTATGTAGCAGGGGCTGGACTTTGGAACATTTCTGCTACCCCGTAGTACAGACGGTTATGCACCCTCCCCCGTCTATGCAGACAGGATCTGGTACCCTAACCCTCGTGCGCCTCTGATAAAGCACCCGCCGGCCCCTGCCCACATGAATACAGCTTGTGCTTTAGAGGTTGCCACGCCCTCAAGGCTGCACCATTATTTTGAGCCTGGAACCCCCCCCCCTTGTAACCAAGGGTTGGGAGAGGTCGCAAAGAAGAGAAGGACGTGAACGAGGTTCAACTTTTCAGGCGCCTCCCGCCTTGACCGCACAGTATAGACGTATAGGCTGCAGACGAAAGACAAAATCTAAAAACAGCAGAACCTCGAAGTGGAAATCTTGAAAGACCTGTGTAATTTATAAATGCCGAGCCATACAGCACATACATGCTCGATACGTCGGGTGCATAAACGACGGTCAAGCCTCTTTGCAGTACTTTCTCGAACTATTAAGTATTCAAATTATGAAAGAAAATTCCAAGGGCAAAGCTCGGTAACACGAAAACTGGACGTCTTACGACCTCGTCCTGATACCCTTTTCTTTCTACTTTTAAGAGCATTCTATTCACACCCCCCCCCCCAGATTGAAATTTATACGATTAACATGTTTACTTCTCGTATGGCTACTCCTCCGTTTTCCTCTAGTGAAAAATCAAAAACAAAGATGGCTGATATGTAACTCAATGCTAACAATATCTATTGGTGTCATGTGATAACGTTCGAACGGATTCCGGCACCACCATATTGTCGCCTATATTGCGCCTTCACACAATACTGAACATGGAAAGAACCAGATTAGGCGATGGAGTGCTCTAGAAGTCTAGGATCGGTTTAACTAGTACCACCCTTCCTGAAATAACTGTATTACGAATAAATTTAATGATTTGTCTTTTGATTTTATACGTTTTTTATAATTAATTTTGTAGGATTGTTTGTCTGTAAAGCAATTGTTCAGGGTTTTTTCCCCCAACGTCCAATTAATTATAATTG